ATAGAATAGAATAGAATAGAATAGAATAGAATAGAATAGAATAGAATTTTTATTGGCCAAGTATGATTGGACACACAAGGAATTTGTCTTTATATCGCACACAATCATCCCCGCCACTATTATTAATTACATTAAATAAGTATCAGAAAATAAAAAGTTAACTTCAGTGAAGTAATGAACAGAGAGGCTACTTTTTTTGATAAGCTTCTTCTTTCTTCAGCAACAGAATTCTTACAATTTCACAATATTCAAGTACTTTAGATTGCCAAGGTACTAATTTTGTGGATGGAGACATCCTTCCCAGGTAGACCAGACAGGAAACATGACCAGATGAACTAATTCTACTTCACTCTGAAGCTAATTAATAGAATCTTGCAAGTCTGAAAGTATACATCTTCTGGGGGTTTTTTACGGCCTGATAAGTTAGGGAGGATCCTTTTTGAATTTATTTCTCTTTCCATGTGCAGCTGTGTGCTTCCTTTGTTATCTGTTGTTTCCTAGGCAGAACCTCTGCACGACTCCCAATATCATTCCGACATACCATGGGCTGTACTGGTTTCTGCATGGTAAGATGTAAAATGGTATGAAAGCATTTAACAGAAAATTGCTCTGTTGTACATCAACGAAGCACTTCAGTAAACTAAACTTTCATAGTACCCAAATTACTGGGATAAACGATGGAGAAAAGTAGATTGACCCAGGTTTATCACAATTACTATTTTTTCTTCCTTTTATTGCACTTCAAGGCAGTTTATTGTCTAGAAAACATCAGCCTTTGCAGGAAGAATGGTTTGATTTATCTGCATCTTGGAAATTAGTCAACTGTTTGAAATGTGCAGTATTTAATCTCACGCAACTTCTGTGTGTGACTGTTCGTGTGATGATGTCCCTACTATTTTCAGTCTCTGTAAAGCTTGTGATCTGTAAAATGTCAAATATGTCAATGGGGAGCTTAGTAAACTATCTTCTATGAAAAACTCTGCATTTCAGACTAGTGTTGTAAAAAGTGGTGTAAAAAATAATACAGCAACTTACAGCAACAACCGGAACCAGACATTCATCAATAAGAGTGTTATCTGTTTTAGAAAAGTCTATTGGTCCTACACAATGCTTGGCCAGTAGATAAAATCAGCTAGATGCCTAATCTAGTTCTTCTCCAATTAACCACAACTTCCCTGGGTTGTTATCTAGCAAGTTAAGCTTTTCTAGGTAGAGCAGGAAAAAGTTTTTGCTTAGCTCTAATGTACATGACAGTTTAACAACTCATGAATTAGACCAGAATTGTTAAACTGTCCTCTACATTAAAGCCAAGCCAAAACTTTTTCCTGTTCTAGCTAGAAAAGCTTGACTCCTTAGGCACAATAGGAAAGAATGCACAGAGTTTATTTAGCTGGGAACAGGTATCCATGGATCCGACAGGTTCACATGCTGGATTGTACAGATTGTCCAGTCAGAGTATGAAAAAATTGAGATTATATCTTAGCTTTATATCTATTTCTATATACACATCTTTAGTATAGGACTCTAGGAGGAAAAAACAAATTAAAATCAGCAATAAAAACATCAACAAAAAACCCAAACAGAACTTGCCTCAAGTAACAGACATATCCATATCTACAGCCTTCTATTTCTCTTTATATTGTCAGTTCTCTGAGTAATGCAGCCAGGAGCCTATTTTCTAACCTTTTATTATCAAGAAGTATCATCCAGCTCAAAGGGAATTCTTTATATTGAACTTTTTTTGTATATTTTTTACCTTACATACCCAAACTATTTCATTCTTTAAGGGTATTAATTTAAACTTAATTAAATTGTATTATTTAGGGCAGTTTTCCAAATTTATATCAAGATGTTGCGAATGGTAAACCCTATTAAATAGGTTAGTGTTATAATGCTGCAACTTTAAAAACCCATATTTTTGGAATAGCCATAATCATGGTTTTTATAAAATCTTTTTTTAAAATAATGCAATCTTTGGTTTTGTTCTACTTAGATGTTTCTCAGATTAAAGATTAGCCCGGGACCACTTCTTTCCTGCTTTATGTAACACCCATAAATTAAACACGAAATATTCTGATCTGCTTTCTACAAATTTTCTAGCAAAAGTGAGTATCATTTTAAAGAATAAAAGACTGAATAGAGTAAATAAAATGTCAGCTATAGAATCTTTTAGTCATACTTTATGAGGTCTTCTGTATTATTTAGATAGAATTGATGTCACCTCTATCCTGTAGGCAAGTTAACTGTTAAATTCCTATTAAATTGTCTTTTAAGTAAAAATTGCATATGTGACAAGTATTTTTTTTTTCATTTTTGTTTCCAATATTATATTAATGGAAGAGAAAAAAATGCAATTCTGAAATCTTGTTACATAAACATGGCTTGGTCAAGGCCTACACCAGAAAAATGAGATTTCACACTAAGGATCTTTTCATTACTCCATATAAATTGTTTACCCAAGGTGCTTAACAAATTCAAATTAATATTACTTTCTAAATAATTTATTCTCTTCTCATTTTAGCAGCCAATCTGTATCTACAAAGTACAACACTGTATAAATTATATTTTTAACTATTAAAAACATAAATTAGTCATTTCTAATCTGTATTAAAATAATTCTGGTTTAAATAATAAGTATCAGTATGCTCACAAGAGTGATAATTTTATAATTTTATTTACATTGAGTAGATCAGAAATAAATAACTGGTTGAACTAGCATTAGAAAAAGTACAATTTCTCAGAACTTCTGCTGAGATACCAAAAGATCAGATTTTGCCATTTTAATGCAATAACGTGACTCTCTAAAACAGGGGTGTCAAACTTTCTGTGTCACATTGTCATCATGTGACGTACTGCAACTTTTCCTCGCTTCATTAAACCAGGGAATGGCCAGTGCATGACACATCCAGTCCATGGTCTGCGAGTTTGACACCCCTGCTCTAAAACATGATAACACTAATTTGTATGGTTTCTCTTCCATTCTATCAATAAGTCTAATGGTTTCAAATTTTAATAATTAAATGTTTGGTGTATTACAGCATCAGGGTAGAAACCAGAAGACTGTGGGTTATGAAGCCAGCTGGCTGACCTTGGACCAGTCACTTTCTCTCAGCCCTAGGAAGGAAGCAATGGCACACCACTTCTGAAAAACTTTGCCAAAAAATTTACAGGCACTTGTCTCTAAGAACTGGACATAACTGAATGGAGGGGGTGGGGAGTCAGATAAATAAGTCTCTTACAATTTTGTAAAATAAAATCAGTACATCATACTTAAGCATGGGAATTCCAGTAAAATATTATACCAAAAGAATAAGCTTCCTTGCTTTTGCATAACTTTTGAAACCTGGATTTCATTTTGAAGAACACTAATCTAACATCAAAATCAAGAGAGGAAAAAAAAGGAAGGGTTCTTCTCACACAAGAACATGTTTTTAAATCAACTGCTCTTAAACAGCTCTTAAGTTGCTGCAATTTGCAAAACAACATCAGCCTATGAGCCACTTGAGACTCTCTTTTCCAGGACATCTGCACTGAGATAACCAGCACAAGGTATCTGCAATTTCCTCTTCTCAGTAAATGTCTCTCTTTTTCTTTCATTGTAATTTTCTCTGTAGAGTGAGAATGAAATCATCTTATGTTTATTTTGAAAAGTAAATATAATTTGTATAAAAAGCAAAAGCACAGACACTTCATATAGGATCATGGAAC